CTCCCAGGGCACCCCTAGGAGGGGGCCTGGCCTTGGCACGCCCCCCCGGGACCCACACCTCCACCCACCACTCCAGCTGTGACCAGGAGTCTCAGAAGCGGTGTGGGCAGCATCTGGACCTGGTCGACCAGCCCCTTCAGTCTCAGCTCCCACTCAGCTGGGCCTCTTGTCTGGCCTGTGCCCCGTAGAAGCCGCTCTGTCCACCGCCGGGCCTCGCGGGCCTGTCCCAAGATGCTGTCCGGTCCTCCAAGTGTGGCCACGACCTGGGCCCCACGCATGGCCTCCCGGGAAAGCAGGGCAGCTGAGGAGGCCTGGGCCTCAGCCTCTGCAGCAGATGGGAGGGAGGGATAGAGGGTGGCTTAGCGCCACACAGGCAAGGGCACCTGGTCCCTCCTCCTGACCCAGCCCCGCCCCTGCCCAGCTGGCCTCACGTTGGACTCCTGGGGCCCCCTTGGGCCAGGCCAAGCCCTTGACACAGTCTAGCTCCCGGGACAGTTCTTCCAGCCGCTCACACTGCCTCCTAAGCCAGGGCTCACTTTCGGCCACAGCCTGCCCGGGGCCCACAGCGTCTGGGCCAGTGCAGCCACTTCTGTCCTGCGGGAGGACAGAGCACCAGCATGGCTGATGAGGTCCTCCCCACGACCCTCACTCGGGAACCCCCCGACTCCCAGACCCAGGGCCCCCACAGGCCAGCCTGTGGCCGGCAGGACCCCTGACCCTGTGAACCTCGCTGGAGACCACTCCCCTGCTGACCCCGACCCCTTGCCTGAGTCCAGCTGTGCACGCTGTCAGCGGCTGCAGGGCCCCCGCCATGGATACAGGAGATTCCAGGAGCGTCTGTGCCAGCTGGAGGACCCGCTCCAGGGCCTGCTGGGGTCCGCCCGGGCCCCTAGCCCCCCAGCCAGGAGGAGAGTCACGTGCAGGAGCTCTGGAGACACAGACGGAGAGGCCTCAGGCACGCTGGTCCCCCCTCCACGGCTGGGAGGGAGGGGGAAGAGGGTGTTTCCCTCTCTGTCACCTCAGCCACCTGCTCCAGCACCCCTGCTCCTCAGGGTCCGCGTCAGGACGCCCTCAAGTGGCAGTGCGTCTGAGCGGCGCCCTCTGCTCCCTGGACACCCCTCTGCGTCTCTGGAGACTTGAATCTGCCTCCCCACCTGTCCTCCAAGCCCTGTGGGCACTAGTTTGTCAGCGCTCTCTCTCACTTCAGCCTGCTCCCGCCATGGCCCCCATTCCTGGCCCACGACTGCTCCCATGCTGTGCCCACTGCATAGGGCCTGGCGTGGGCTGGTTTCCATCCCTGCCCCATCCCTGCCCAGAAGCCGCCTGCCCTTGCTCAATGCACAGGCGGATGGTCCGCGGCTCCTCCTGCTCCACAGCTTCCGTCAGGTGCCTGGCCAAGGCCGCCTCCTGTCTCTCCTTTGCCAGGTTCCCCTTTTCTCCTGATCAAAGGAATGGGCAGCAGCTGCCCCGGGGCCTAGGGTGGGGTTCAGGGTGAGCAGCTGGTATCACAGTCCCGGTGGGTGGAGTGCGTGGAGAAAAAGCTCATTTGGGTTTGTCCTCCTGCTGTGTTACTGCCTGGCTGGCTCTGGGCCACCCTGTTGAATTATGTGTGTGTTTTTTTCTTGTTTTTAAACTATATTTTTACTGATTTCAGAGAGGAAGGGAGAGGGAGAGATAGAAACATCAATGATGAGAGAGAATCATTGATCAGCTGCCTCCTGCACGCCCCCCACTGGAGATTGAGCCTGCAACCCAGACCGTGCCCTGACTGGGAATCGAACTGTGACCTTGTGGTTCATAGGTTGATGCTCAACCACTGAGCCACACCGGCCGGGCTCTCTTGCTCTGTAACAGGCTTCTGCTTCACAAGGTCACCCACAGAGATGCCCTGGGGTCAGCTAGAGGCAGCTGCGGGACGTAGGGCACCGACTAAGGCCAGAATGAAGACTGAGGGGAGGGCAGGGACTGGGGCCGTGATGGGGGCTCACAGGGGAGGTAGGAGGTAGTGACAGGAGCAGAGACATGGCGGCTGGCAGGGAGAGCAGTGACAGGGACCACACGGGCACCACGAGTCCAGTGAGGGGCAGAGATGGAACTGCTACCCATGCCGGCCCCTATGCAGGGGGCACATGCCGAGCAGTGCGGGGGCAGGAATGGGGGCCACATTAGGGACCACGATCGAGGACTGTGAAGGGGCAGCTGGAGCAGGATGCTGGGGGACTGAGCTGGCTCGCCCACCACCTGCCCCCCCCTCCCTCCGCGGGACCACCCCTCCCCCAATAGCTGCCAGCCTCACAGGCAGGGAGCGCAGGGTTGGCTGCGATTTACCCTGAATCTCGGGGTTGTGTGGGTTCTCCACCTGAAAGGCGGGGTCCAGAACTCTGAAAATGACCTGAGGAAGAAGCAAGGCTGAGCCTCCGGCTTCACAACCGCCCACCCCGCCCTCCTCGGGCCTGACCTTGCCCCCGGCGGAAGGCTCAATGTCTGAGTAACGCTGGTCACGGACGGGATCGCTGACACTGTGGCCCGGGGCACGGGCGACGCCAGGGAAGAGGCCTGAGCAGTTGTGGGCAAAGTACCAGTACACACGCCAGGAGCGGCCGCGGTCCACTGAACGCTCGAGAGCCAGCGCTGCTGGGTGGAAAGTCTGGGGACAGGAGGGGTCCCCGGGTTACCAGGGGCAAGCACCAGGGTGGCCGTCAGGACAGGAGACTCACGGCAGCCTTCAGGCCGGGGCACCGTCACCTTGAAAGTCACGGTGAGGTGGGTGAAGTAGAACGCACTCTCCAGGTCTAGCTGGATGGTGACGTTCTCAACACCTGAACCACAGGGCTGGTCAGAGTGACGAGCCCTTGACCCCAGACCCCAGGCCCTCACACCCAGGTACACCAGCACCCTCACCGCTCTCAGCTTGCCACCAGGTCTGGTTGCCACGGGGACCACTCTGGGATATCACCTTCTCAATGCCATGGCCACCCCAGTCCCAAGAGTTGCAAAAGAAGCAATTTTCAGAGCCCTGGGGGAGTGTCGGAGGAGAGGGGGGTAGGACGCGCATGGCGGTGCCCCCACTCCAAAGCTCCACAGCTCCGGCCTCTCCCTCTAGCCCCCGGTGACCTGAACTCCTACAGGGCCGAGCCCCCCAGGAAGACCCAGAGGTACCTGGTCCAGAGGCCTCCCTCTCCCCTCCGCCTGGGGGTGACTGATAAGGCAGTAGCGCTCAGGGCCATGGCGTCCACAGGTGGATGAGCTATGAAGGCTCTGGCCACGACCAACAATCAGGTCGCCAGTGGGTGGGTAGCAGCTGCCGCTCTGGCAACCAGGTGGGGTAAGTGTGTCTGGCACCTCCTGGGCAACTGTTCTGGGAGCCTGGACTGGGAGGGGGAGGGTCTGCATGCGGATCCTAGAGGCACCCCCTCCGACCTCACACCACGGGGCAGCCTGAAGACGCCTCCCCTCCAGGTGACTCAGAGGAGCCCACTCCTCACCCATGGGTGGCAGCAGCAGCAGCAGCAGCAGCACAGAAAGGAGGGGGCCTAGCTCAGCCGGGGACCAGGGCGGTGGGCGCTGGAATCAGGCCTGAGAAAGAGGATGAGAGTGGGCCCCACGCTGGCCCCCTGGAGCAGCTGTGTGGCCCCTGGGCCAGTCCCCATACTCACATGGTGGGTGAAAGCAGGGCCACCAAAGGCGAGAGGCGCGCAGGGCTGTGGGCCACCATGCAGCGGGGAGCAAGGGGTCCCCGAGGAACCCGCCCAGGGAAGGACACAAGGTGGGGAGGAGCACAGGAGCTCCTGCAGGCCCAGCCCAGCCGCCAGTGCAGCCAGGGTGCAGACCAACCCAGACAGAACAGGCCGATTCTCATTCAAATGAGGCTCCCACCCCAGCCCTGAAAGGCTGTCTCCAGGAGCCCCTGGGGAATGCCTCTCCGAGGCGCCCCCCTCCAGCCCCTGCCTTCAGGCTGGGCAGCCAGCAAGACTGGCAGATGGGCAGGGAGCTGGTTTTGTTCAGGGCTCAAAGCCCAGCCCCCACTCCAAAGCAGGAAAGCTGATAATGTCGGACATGTCCAGGCCAGCTGAGGCCTGAGCTGGACTCGGGAACAGAGCGGGCACCTGGAACCCAGTAGAACGCACTGCTCACGGGGCAGCCGGGGATGCAGCATCCACCGACCCGAGGAGAAAACTGCTTCATCAGGGAGGGCAGACTGACCCTACAACCCGGAGCTCTGACCTCTGACTCAACCCCAACTCCTTAACTGGGGAAATCAAGGCTGGCCACTCTTCTGGAAGAAGCAAGGGGAGGAGAGGCAGAGGTACGCAGGTCATTTGGGGCCAAAGAAACCCAGGCAAAGCCAAACGTTTCAGCCAAAGCCAGGCTGGAAGCCAAGGCCAGGCTGTCTGCACCACCCCTGGGGGGCAGGACCACAAAGCCCCTTCCCTGACCTAGAAACTGGCAAGGTGCCTGTTTCCCCCAGCTCCCCGTTTTCCTCCCACATGGGGTCTAATCTGGGTAACAAACCACCTGAATGGCTCTGCCCTTGCCCTGAGGAGCCCCTGCACCAGAGGGCAGGGCACCCAAAGGCCTGGAGGCTGCCTGCCCGTGGTGCCCCCTTACTCCCATGGAGGCCCACCCTCGGCTACCAGGACCCCTCACGGCAGCCCCACACAGACATGGACGGCAGGCAGGGAGGCCGGGAGGTGGAAAGGTATAAAACGTGATAGATGGAACCGTGGACATACAACCTGAAGAGCAGCAAGTCACAGTGATTGCCCCCCTCCTGCCCCCCACACCAGCCCCCCACCCTCCGGTCTGGAAGGGTGGTGGCTGCCAGGGCCCTGGAGAGGCACCCGGAGTCCTCAAGGTTGTGGAGTCCACAGGCATTGCACACTGTGCCAGTGACCACACGGACAGCTGGACTTAGTCCCCCACACACTGCCGGCGGAGACGTCAGGGTACTGGGTGCGGCAGCAGCGGCTGGAGCCGGATCACGGGGGACAGGTTCACGCGGAGGGCACGCTGGGCCTGCCGCCGCACTTCGTCGTCCGAGGACCGCTGGTCCACCTTGAAGGCCCGGAGTGTCAGCAGCGTGGATGTTCCGAGGCGCAGGCGTGCCTTCGGGGACCGGGCCCCGAGCCGGGCTCTCTTCTGGGGAAGATGATCTTTTGCCTCCTCAGTCCTTTTCCTCTTCTGCCCCCCAGTCCCAGGGCTGCCCTTCTGGCCTTTCCTCGCAGTCCTGGCCTGGACAGACCCTTTCAGCCGGCCCCGGCCCCGGCCCCTGGGCTGGGTCCGAGCGGCCGTGGCCCGCGCTGCCCTGGCTTTGGCCTTGGCCCTGGCCCGCGCTGCCCTGGCCTTGGCTTTGGCCTTGATCCAGGCTGCCTTCGTTTCTGCCCGGGCCTTGGCAGCTTTGGCCTGAGTCTGAGCCGCCGTGGCCTGGGCACAGGCAACTCTGGCTAGTGCTTGAGCTGCCTTGGCCTGGGCTGTCTTGGTGCTCAAGGCAGAGACACCTTTCATTTGTGGGCCAAGGAGGGATCCAGTGGCTCTGCAGGTCTTGCTCTGGGGCCCTGTGCTTTCTTGGGGTCCAGCACTGGGGCCCCTGCGAATCACACACTTCGGGCCCGTGCTGGTGACTTTCCTGGGAACCGCCAGCCTCTTTCCGGGACCTTCCCGCAGCTTCAGAGGAGAGTCCGCAAGGGAGAGCTGCAGCGACTGGGTCTCGTGCTTGGCACCCAAGTGGGGCACGGGAGTCTTGAGTGGAACCAGGGCCTCTAGGACAACGGAGAGTCGCATGGCAGGGTAGACGCCTGGATAGAGGTGTGTGGGGAAGCCCATGGCCGTGTCCCGGGCGTGGCTGGCACTGGACTCCTTCAGGGAGCTCAGCAGCAGGTTGGTGGCGGCATGCTTGGCCAGGGCTGGTGTGGACGCCTTGGCCAGCCTGCCCGGCAGCGGCATGGGCAGCAGCGTGGCCCGGCCTGCGGGCAGCCGCACAGCAGCTCGGGGAGCACTGGCTGGAGGTGACGTGGTGGCTGGGATGGGGGCGCGAGCGTGCAGCTTCGTCTGGCTTGGGGGTGTGGCTGTGCATGAACTATAGCCGTAGACATCACCGCTGCGCAGGACGGTCGGCTGGAAGCCATCCTCTCGCAGGCCCTGCAGGAAGGCCACCAGCTGGGCCTCCGTGGCACTGAGATCCTGGCTCATGGGGTTAAAGACCAGCAGCGCCTCCTCCAGCGCCTTCTTCCCCGCCGTGGAGATCCGGGACCACGAGTGCACGGCCTTCTCTTCCACATGCTGCGCCACGCTCATGGCATTGGCACTGCGGGCCTGTCCGGGTTGTCTGCAAACCAGCGCTCGGCACCTGCAAGGTAAGAGGAAACGAGTCGATACGAACAGCACGGAGAAAGGGTCAGGGCAGGCACACAGGTCAGTCAGGGCTTGCACTGCCCCGAGCACCCACCACAGAGGCCTGGCAGAGTGAGCCACTCCACGAAGCAAACGATGTTCTCCTGACCCCTCCGGGCAGCAGGGTGGGGCTGGGGGTGGGAGAGGACCCCTGTGGGTCAGAGGCAGCTTCTTCAGGATATTTGCCCACAAGCTCGTCAGGGCCACCCAACCGGCCGCTGTGTCCTGGAGAGACCTGGGCTCAGCTAGCCTGTTTGAATTCAAGTCTGTATTTTCTGGAGCCAGAAATCTAGCATTAGACTCAACCCTGGGGACACGAGTGAATGTCTGTCCTCAAGGAGCCGTGCACAGAAGGCAAGACAGGGACACCATCAAGGTGGACGGGAGGGCACACGGAACCCAGCGGAGCTCACCAAGGGGTCAGGAAAGGGTTCCTGGGAAAGGCGGCCCCTGGCTGGGACGGAGTGATGAACAGGAAGGGGCCAGATGGACACGGCAAAGGGTGCAGCCTACGCGATGGCTCCAACGTGAGACAGAGCGACACACACTTGGGGTGACGGAGTCTGTGGTCAGGGCTGGGACTGAGTTCGAAAGAACAGGGGAAAGCAGGGCAACACAAGCCCTGAGTGCTGGCCAAGGGCCCAGACCTCCACCCCATGTCCATGCCCATCTCCGTCCCTCCCTGCCCACCAGACCTTCTGCTCTCAGTTCCCGACAGGCCACGTGGAGGCCCCAGCACTGGAGTCATGGAGACCAGCCAGGCTCGGCTTCAACAGAAACTAAAAAGACGGCGAGTAGCACATGAGAACGACACAGCTCTAGGCAGTCAGGCGGCCTGGGGGCCGAGCAGCCAGACCCAGAGCCCAGAGTTTGAGAGCAGAGCAGAGGCTGCACGCAGGCCGGGCAGGCCGGGGGCCGGGGGATGCGGGCTGCATCTCTCCTCGCTGCGGACCTGGGTTCCCCCAACCTCCGCTCAAATCCTCAGGCTCCAGAGTGGAGGGCTGCTCTGCCTTTACCCTCCAGCTCTAGGCCCCTAGTGCCGCTGGTGCCGGGCGCTTCCCTCCCGAGGCCACACTCCGAGCGCAGCCTTGCACGTGGCTCTAGTTGTGCTACTTTCCCGGGAGCAGCTCGGGTCTGAGCACAGACCCGGGAGGGCGGACACCAGGCACA